CCTGTCAGTCAGCGCACATCTTTTTAATTTCGAAAACTGCTACACGCACTTTTATGAAATCTGATATTAACATCTGCTAGTGGGGGGTTATTCAAAATTCATACCTTCTAGCTTTCGGTAATGGGAGCGAGGCGGATGTACGAGTACAAAGCTGCGAAGTGAGAGCGACAAACTGCAATTAGCGAAAGGAGATTACTGCATTAACATCATCAGGCATTTCCACCATTGGAGACACATTAACAGTAGGCAAAATAATGATAGGAAATGTTTGAATGACAGTCACAACAGAAACCAAAGTAACCATAACGGGGTTCTGAGCTGTAGGAAATGTACGTGACCGCCTCTGTGGTCTAGTGGTCAGAGTTACTGGATACAGATCCAGAGGTCCGGGTTCGAATCCCTGCGCTACCAGATTTTCTGAGAATTAGTGGGTCTGGAACGGTTCCACTCAGTCTCGTGATAACTGAGGGCCATTTCAAGGAAATAGCGGCTCCGGTCTAGAAAACCGAGATTAATGGCCGTGGGGATCCGTTGCGCTGACCACGTGACACCCTCAATCCACTAAAGTTGGCAATAACTTCGCCGACAAGCGGCGGTCGCTCGGTCGGTATATTCGCTTGCAGAATCAAGCCACGGAGTTTAGTTTCTTTTTTTAGTTTAGGAAATGTACATACAATTCAAACAACACATGACTGGTCGCTGCCGATCGCCAAACCGCCCTGTGATGAGTACTTAGAGCAGTAGCAAAGCCACTGATTGGCTGCACAGTCTTCATCGAGGATGTGTCAACGGAGCCAGAGCGTCTCACCCAGTCAGGGACAATCATTATGCCTAATACACTCGAATTCAATTTCAGAATGTCAAGGCACAAGGGACGCTTGTGTAAACTGTGTACTCCGGTACGGATCAGCAGTAACCTTGGCCGCCTCCGCCTCTTCTTAAAGAGCGCAGAAATCAATGATCGCTCCACAAAACTCTTTGTTTTATAACAGTATGAGCGTATTTACTTCGCACACGACCTTCACGACTCCTCACTTTACAAAGCTGGCTCAACGCGTGAGACATGCATCAAGTAGCATGTTTCATTTCAAATAATTTATATGCAGAATGCAAATATGTTGCGAAACAGGGTGCGGGCGTGTGAAAAAGCCGGTTTCAGGAAACGACAATCACCGGTTCAACCCAATACAAACAACAAACATATAAACTGTGTCTTTTGTTAAATTTACACAAGTCACACAATATTACGCAACAACATGTCCACCATTAGAACAATACGCTCCATTCCTAACCAACTAATTCCACTGAATACGAAGCAGTACATATTCTACGTACCTGAGATCCAAATTACAGGCAAACATTTCATGCTACATGTACACACTTACTGAGGAGTAATGGCCGCGCCATAGCTCAAGCGGTCAGTCGCTGGCTTCCCCACGCGGCAGCCCGGGTTCGATCCCGGGTCTGGTCAAGTTGGCTTTGTGGTGGGCAAAGTGGCGCTGGGGCAGGTTTTCTCCGAGTACTTCGGTTTCCCCTGCCAATCTTCATTCCTCCAAATTCTCCATCATTGTAATCACCCGGGATAGGTACAATAAGCCAACCAGTGGCCGCCGTGCCGAGTGGACCCAGCTGGACTGCACTAAGCGAAATACTGAGTACAAATTTTCAGATTCGCTCTTCTTTCTTTCTTTCTTCGTCTCTTACCCATTCTCCGAGCACTATATCGAAGTACGTCGTGCGCTCCATATACTTGTATTTTCTCGACGGTCTGGAATAAGTTCTCTCCCCCATTCATAACAGGATTATTGCTCCTGAGATAAATTCGAGCAGCACAGCAGAAACATAATTAACTTAATATGCATCTATTCAAGTATATTTGTGTGCGGTTTCCTTTCCACTTCCCTGTGAAACGACCTGCGTTTACTAGATGCAAGTTCACGACGACGGTCGCTTTATACACGTATCAGTGTTAATCACTATAAAAGAACTTTCAGCTGGATGTTGAACTTCAATTGAAGAACGTAACAGAAACTAGAAAGTTTGTACCGAAATTCTATGTCAATATATACTGTACATAAAGGAAAACAGTATGACCTACTGCAGGTAAAGTTATCTGAACTGTATGACGATTCAGAGACTTTTGAGATCTTTCCAAAATATCGCCTATGTTTGTGGAGTCGATGAAGATTATCCAAACACATAAAGATAATCATGGTTCGTCTTTCTATTTCAGGTACCTCAGCTTACTGAAAAATTACGTCGCAGTAGTATGCCCAGAATGTTTCAGAAAAAAAAAAAACACAATTATTTTAGCATAATAACCGCAAGGAGAAGCTGTTCTGACAACAGCAGCATTTTCTGACGAACACTTATCCTGATGGTACCTTTATTTTCCCGAAATACACTGCCACATTTCGCTCACGGCTCCCAGGAAGAATTCTACTTCCCCCCCCCTTGGCACTACAGCCTCAGTGGGCCTAGGCCTGCCTCCATGAACTTCTCTGTTCACTTCGGTTTTTCTAGATCTTACACATTCGGTAGGATTCCTTGGGCGGGTGATCAGCTCGTCGCAAGGCCTCCACCTGTACACAAACACAGAAAAACACACACACAAACTAAACATCCATGACCTGAGTGGGATTCGAACCCACGAACCCGGTTTCCAAGCGAGCGAAGACAGTACATGCCTTAGACCGCTCGGCTACCATGACCGGCGAATTCTACTTTACAACGCCTTATACAACAAGCAAAATAAAATTGTACTGAACTGTATTATAATATCAATTTCGAGGGTTGCACAACAGCAAAAAAAATTACCGCATGGTATTACTGTTCTACAGTCTTTAACAGCTGAGAAACAACCCGACGATACTAACAACTTTCTGCTTAATAACTAATCCCGGTTATTCTCTTTCCATTCAGGGGGTGGGGTGAGACGAATTTCATATGGAACGTCGGTACTGCCGGCCTCGGATGGTGGATGAAGATGAGCGTGGACAACTGGCAAGGGAAACCGAGGCACTGGGAGAAGAAAAAAACTCCAGTGCCACTCAGTCACCATTAATCTGACATGGCCGGACCTGGGATCGAAACCGGGCCGCAGCGGTGGGAAGCAGGCGACTAGCCGCTATGAGGTATGGGCAGCTATTAACTAACTGCGCCAGTGTTGGCTTCTCAAGGACTCTCTGCTCCAAGAATTGTGAAATGATAATAATTTAAGAATGATTTTGTCACTGGACTGACATTAATATCTGATTAACAATAAGATTACTGTATATGGCTAAGCTATCAACAAAGATTCCATGCTCTACCGTTACTTTATTGAGTCTACCGACTTTAATTTGCGCACGAAAGTCGAATCTATTCTCACAAGCTTACCCCTCCAGAGTACAGACACTCCATCCTGATGAACAACAGTGAACAAGGACACATCTCTTGCTGTATGCCGCCGATAATAAGCAAACGAGATGGCAAAATTGTGCACAACTGAACAATAGAGGCAATAAACAGAAAAGGTCTATTGGCGTAACAGCAAAAATCCAGAGCGTCATTACTTCAATATCGTTCAATGTTTTCCGGGAACTCGTTCTGCCCCAAATCTCCATATTCCTCCCTTTTCACGCGGGACAGAAGCCACCGGACAGTGACAGACCTGCATATTTATTCCGTTCTCATTTTATACTTCGCTCTGGTGACAGCACACAAATCCTTAAGAGATTCCCCATTACTAACTGCAGCGATTTCGGCCGCGCCATAGCTCAAGCTGTTAGTCGCTGGCATCCCACCGCGGCGGCCCGGGTTCGATCCCGGGTCTGCTCAAGTGGGATTTGTGGTGGACAAAGTGGCGCTGGGGCAGGTTTTCTCCGAGTACTTCGGTTACCCCTGCCAATCTTCATTCCATCAATTGCTCCACAATCACCCTCACTTATCATCTGGGGCTGGTACAACAGGCCAGAACTGGCTGCAGTACAAGGGACTTAGTCCCACCCCACTAGCAATAAAAAAAAACTAAAAAAAATGCAGCGATTTTATTCAGCTAATTATTAATTTGTTTATTAGGTCTCGACGAAGAAACAGTTTCCGTCTCCAAAGCCGAAAGTTTCTTGACTACGCGAACTATTTATTTTAAGGGCGCTCTCAGTAGATCGAACTAAATGGCGTCCAATTGCAATTCAGCATCAAATGAAAGCTGAATGGAAAAGATGTGAAAGGAAGCAGTCGTAGTCAACTGCAAGGTACTAACCCGGCATTCGAATGAAGGGACTGAGGAAAATCACAAAAGTCCACGGTCAAGATAATCAGCAACCCGGCCGAGATTCGAACCAGGCAGTCCCGAGTACAAAGTTTTACTGCATGAACCAAGTAACACGGTCAGTACTTACAGAACTACGCATCCAAGCAGACTTTCATTATTGAAGCGACGAACCGATTAGTTCATCTTATCTCGACTGAGTTGTTGATAGAAGTAAAGCTGTCCCTGTGCTTAACCGAATCAACAAGACGCAATGAAGACGTATGGTGGGGTTGAGGTACAGCTCCACCATACTTGATCTCATCACTAGATGGCGGAGAGTGGTCAGCTTCACGGCCCGGAAAAGAGCCACTGTTACCCACTGGACAGCAGGTTGGATGGGCCCTAAAGCCGGTCATTTGACGCTGTGGAGAAGAGAAAAATCTCGCGCTCCAGCCGGGAAACGAACCTCAGCCGTCGCTACACAGGTTCCCGTTCATAGAACACTCGGTTAGAAACAATGAGGTTGATTTCCTTCTGAGAAGGCGGCATACAACTGTGTGTTCAATTCAACCTCTGTTCTGTTGAAACACGTGACGCATTTGCTTACGAGATCCGGTTACTTCGAAGCAAAGTCAACAAGCAATGCCGAATTTGTAAAGACATGTACCGCTGTTGTCTTGTTCGGCTGCTGCAGTGTCTGAAGCCACTGTAAATTAAGCCCTACTGTGGCAATGTGTACACCATACAGCGCGTCCACATGACTTACCTGCAGGATCTGCTGCTGGAACGCCTGCTCGTGTAGGCCAGGGTCAATGTGGTAAGTGTTGTTCACATTATTGAGATCGGTCCTCCTAGACACAACAGGGCTGCCTACCGGGGAGTCCCTCGCCATATCTGCAACAAGCAACACACACTTTCAGTTCAAACAGGTTGACACGCCCAAACACGGTCAATGCCATGGCTACAGTTCTCGAAATTGCCCACATACGAACTTTCTTTTCTTTCCCTTTCTTCAATTCTTCCGGCCTGTTCCCGTTCGGAATTACTTCTGAAAAAAAAAAATTAGGCCTCTAAGAGCACACCCTCGATGGGGGATCGGCGCATAGCAAGGCCTCTACGTAGCGGCCTCCGTAGTCTAGAGGTAACGTTCCCACCTCATGACTCGTAGTACGCGGATTCAAAGCCGGCGGAGGTCGTGGAATTTTTAAGGGCGGAAAAATTCAGGGAACAAGTCCTCCGGGAGGGACTTTAAGCCGTGGGTCCCGTGTCGTAGCTTTACGGCACGTAAAAGAACCTCATATCTCCTAAGGAGGTCACTGAGCCAAATTCAAGGACATTTCCCGCCCAACAGTAGTCTCTAACGCCTCTGATAGATGGGGGAAGCATTATAGATACCGCCAAGCCAGTAGAGGCCGAACTCGCTGGCTTGGTCGGGACTGATGGTAAGCACCAGTATCGGTAGGGTATAGAGACTGGTAGAATATTTTAGAGGGAAGCACAATAGATCAAACTGGTCGCGGTGCATGGGGAAACCCACCCTCTCTAAATAACTAACTAACTAAGGCCTCTACGTGCACAGACTGAAAATACAGAAAAAAAAACAGGGGCATGCATTCACGACCCGAGTGGGATTCGAAACTACGAACCCCGTTTTCGAAGACGGTACAAATGAAAGACCACGCGGCCACTGTGATCGCCCTACTTTTTCCACAATGAGTAAAAACAGCAACTGCGGCTCATTGCGGGTGTCACGTCCACACTTAGAATTACAACCGTCGAACCCCTGAAATTATAACGTGTATTCATATAACGAAACTCTGCGAGCTATAAACCTAGCCTATGTTTCAAGAATATACGCAAATTTCCTCCTCTGCTGAACCACATCAGTGCATCCCGTGGAAACGTGAAGTTCACATGTCGGCACCACAAGGGAAGAGCCTCAGGTTCCGGTCCCTTTACTCCTGAAGAACCTGTCCTCGTTGTCGTGGGAAAGAGAACCTTGCATGGTAAGGTAAAGTAATCCCCGGGTTTAATGTATTGGAGAGTGGAGGTATAGCTCCACCATTCATAACCTCGGCGGTAGATAGAGGTGAGTGGTCAGCTTCACGCCCCTATAGCTTTACTCCGGGGACAATACCCCAATTACCCACCGTACAGGAGGGTCGGTGGGCCCCAGAGTCAGTCTGGACGTTACGGAGAAGAGAGGAATCTCTTGCCTTACCACGAATAGAACCATAAACTCCTCGGTCGTAGAGTCTGTAGCCCAGTCGCTATACCGACTGCCCTACCCCGGCTCTCTCATCTATGTGGTAGCGAGGAAAATTTGCCCCTGTGCCGAACCACGTCATTAAGTTGCATGGGCGCGTGAAGGTAAAGCTCCCCCCAAGTTATACATCGCAGTACGACGTGGAGAAGAGGTTAAAGTTCCGCTCGTTTCATTCCTGGGGTGCTATCAGCGCTCATCAGACAGGGGCCGTTCTGGATATGGTGGCAAAAAGGACTCTGCCAGAAATCGAAACCTGCGTAGTAGTAAGAAAGATTTCGAGACTTTTGTGTCATATTGTCAGAGTGAGAGAGAAAGTTTTAAACACACATTGGTAACATGAATTTCGGTACTCTATACTGTAACAAGTAAAGCTATCCCTGTAACTGGCCGTGAAGGCCCATAGGGTTGTGAGACGTTGAGGCTCCCACATTATCTAGACAATCGGCTCAAAGATGGCGGTAAGGTTTTAGCCTTAAGCGCCGGCCGCGCTTTACTTCCCAGGAAAATTATTTAATTAATACCTGGTACTCATGTCTGTTAGAGGCCCAGTGCGGCTGGAAGGATAAGGTCAACTGAAAAAAATCCAATGACCTCATCGGGACTTGAACCCGCGACCTTCCGGTAGCATAGCCCCTCAACCAACTACGCTACCGTGTACGAGGATATGGGCTTTCACAAATAAAACCTGTCAAACACGATCTCGAATTCGAGCTAGTCGCTAAGTTAGTGACTTTCTCAATATATAAATCAATGGTTTGACGTATACTTGTAACATTATATTTCACATATCTAGTAGGGCGAGTAGTGAATAATGAATTGGAAAGAACTGGCAGAAATATGAACCCGAATGCTGAACAGGATAGCTGCTTAATCGGATGCAACGTTCAGACTGATAACAAGCCACATACATTCTATGAACAGCCATTAATCTTGTTGACAAACGAAGCTTTACGAAGACCCTACACAAAGCTTCAATACAATATAACATAAGCTACATCGTACCTCTCCCATGGTTACGAAGACGAACTGGCGAACAAATGAACTCTGCGAGGCAAATTTGTGGATAACAGTCGTAACCAGGCAACAACAGAGTCGGTGCTTCGGAAGCAAGCAGTTTCGTAAGAATATTGTAGCGTGTAAAGCCGTTAGAATGCAATGATCGCGAAATAAACAAATATACCAGAGAGGTTTCTAGGCAAGAGCTCGGTAAACATGTTTCCGCGGCAATGAATACGCATGCAACAAGATATAATATTGGAAACGGTGTTTCCTACTTAGTCCGTGGAAAGGGGTTATAAGGAAGACAACTGGAGCAACCAGGTCAGAACTGTACGGGAGGCTGTGAAGAAAAAGGACAATTGGAAAAGAGCCGCCAATTCAGACAGGACTGTAGCGCGGAAGCTAAAATATTCAGTTAGAAGTCGTTACTAGGGAACGGCTCATGATAAAGGACCGAAAAGGATTAATGGGTGCTGTGGTGATCTGTGGGCAGATTAACGGTGGCGCTGTAATTGTTTGTAGTTCCGAGTTGTGTAAGTGGTCAATAAATCCAAAACCCTGTTGAGAGTCAAACTCATACCACGTCACAATATGCAGCACAGAGTAGACTACCGATAAAAATGGGAAATGTTGTGTTATCTTACATCGTTATTCAGCACTGCCACTGAAAGACTTGCGGCTGACTGAAGGATATAGCGGCTCCGGTCTAGAAAGCCGAAATTAACTGCCGTGGGGAACCGTTGTGCTGACCACACGACACCCTCTATCCGCTAAAGTTGGCACTAACTTCGACAACAAGCGGCGGTCGCTCGGTCGGTATAGTTCGCTTGCGGACTACAGGCCACGGAGTCTGTCTGTTTTTTTTGTAACGTTACTGCATTTAACGGAGACTTCAGAAGCCGTGGCATGACACCCGCAACAAATCCGCTGCGAGCCGAGCACAGTGGTTGCGCTGTCTAAGGCATGAACTGTCTTCGCTCGCTCGAATACTGGGATCGTGGGTTCGAATCCCACGCAAATCATGGATATCTGTGTGCGTTTATTCTGTGTTTGTGTTGTTCTGTGTGTAGGTAGCGGCCTTGCGACGGGTTGATCCCCCGCCCAAGGAGTCCTGCCGACTGTGTATAGGAATAAAAAATTGAAAAAGCGGCCAAAGTTCAACAAAAGGACTGTAGAGACATATATATAGATAGTCCGTTGAGAGTTAAGCGATGTTTCCGATCAACATGACGCCTCCATCTTCAGGTTCAAAGAATAAGCCAAGCAAGAAACGAGCGTGAAGCAGGTAGTAGTAAGCAGCAGCAATGCTCTTTCGAAACGTCGGTTGACTTTCAAAGGACTACACGACGTTATATTCCAGATATGCCGCTGCGAGAACGCCATAACCTACATACACAAGAAATGTTCTCCGTGTATAAATAACTTCAGTTAATTTTACGCGTGTCGCTGCCACCAGCTCGAATCTCGTGTCAGTCCGTATTCATCATTATCGAACTCAGCCCTGCTTTGATGGCTCTAGATGTACTCTCCGTTTGCATGACAGGCCTGAGATTACGAGTGAAGCCGAAAAATTAATTAGCCTAAGGTTCGGTTATCGAATCTCCGACCCCCTTAAGTAGACAGATGCTAGTAATGTGGTGACACCAAGCAAATATGATTCTCTCTCTCTCACACACACACACACACACACACAATTTTGCCTGAGGCATTGGCGATACTATTAATTCTTAAAAAAAAAAATTCTTCCCCCACTTCCTTTCTTGAAGTGGTCGGGGAAATTCTGATCTGTTTCATCGTTCGTTACACATATACTCAAATAAATTAATTCAATATCAGAAAAAATTTATAAGTATAAAGCTATATAAACTAATCAGTACATTGTCCCACGTTACATGCACTAAAATGTCTTCGAGCATCTCACTGATGTGATTACGTTGAAATTAATGTAATTAGCATACAGGAAACTAACCAGATATAGCGGGTGACACGGCCGAGTACTCACCAACCCCGCTTCGTACTCAGGAAGGCAAGGGGAAAGATAATATAACAGTGAATATTAAAGACATGAGACCGATAAATCGGGGTTCGATTCCAGACAGGGGCACGACATTTTCCTCTCCCCCATAGCATCCAGACTGGTTCTGAGGGCCATCAAGCCTCCTATCCAATGGTTTCCGGAGGCTCTTTCCCTGGCGATAAAACGGCCGAGGCGTGAAGATGACCACGCATCTCCATTTAGTGTCAAGGTCAAGAACGAGCTGAGCAACACCTTCACTTCCCCATACGTCAAATTGGTTTGATTAATTAATTAAGCACAAGGACAACTCTTTTTTCCCCTTGACACTACAGCCCCAGTGGGCCTAGGCCTACCTCCATGAACTTCTCCGTTCACTTCGGTTTTTCTAGATCTTACACATTCGGTAGGACTCCTTGGGCGGGTGATCAGCTCGTCGCAAGGCCTCTACCTGTACACAAACACAGAAAAACGCACACACACATCCATGCCCTGAGTGGGATTCGAACCCACGATCCCGGCTTCCGAGCGAGCGAAGACAGTGCATGCCTTAGACCGCTCGGCTACCGTGACCGGCACAAGGACAACTCTATCTTTTATTTATTTACTACCCAT